GGTCACCACAGTTGCGCGATCATTGAAGCTTAAGGTTAAGTTTGGGTTTAGACTTAGGTTAAGGCTTATGCTTACACATTGGCTTATGCCTAAGCCTATGATTGGGCCTAGGCTTAGTCCTAAGCTTGCTCCGAGCGAATGAACGGCGTCTCAATTTTAGGTGACCTGACCCCAGGAGGAGAAACGCTACGCACCCGGCGCAGGTATGGTCCTGCAAGGCCGCAGAGCATACCCTTCGCCGCAAAACGCTCATCTTCAGATCTAGGTAAGCCGTGTAGCACTTTTGGATCAATCGATACCGGCAGTTGGTTTGCTGTACTGCAGAAATTGTCTTCAAAACTGCGGCCATCAAAGGATGGACCTCGATTGATCGGTCTTTTCCGTTCAGCCTCTGACGACTACGAAGAGACCGGAACGTAGATCTATGAAAGCTACTGTAAGATCTTGGACTGGCTCCAACAAATTTCTATGCATCAAAATTTCATGCCAAGATTAAAAATAAGTCGTTTATGGATCATGCTAAGATTGAAAGAGGATCCTGGACGGTTACAAGACAAATGTTGAATGAAGATTCGATTTCATTTTCACATATTTTGGTGTCCTTTTTGACCCAAAAAGACCCTGCAACTCAGTGAATGTGGTCAGGAGAACAGCTCTGAGGGGTGAGCCGTCGCAATCGGCGTCACGTTTGCTTTACCGCACCTGTCATAAAAGCGGTTTCCTAAGCTACTTAAAAGAAGTATTCACCTAATTATTATTATTAGCTTTATTAATGGGTAGAACGGGAGTGACGAGTCCGCCTCAAAATTATCAACCACACTAGTGGTTTACCCTTTCGCTGGAATGGATCTCTCTGAATGCTACTTTGATTTTTATTATAGTTCTAAATTATAAATTAAACTCAGATTTCAACACATCCGTTCTAAGGAATGATTCGCCTTATCAACGGTAAAATGTTAATATAAGCTCACGAGGGCGTTTTTCTGTAACCAGAAAACTAGAATACGTTATAACAATTGGACAAACTTCATTTCCTTACCTTTCCGATTTGTAGTGCCACGGAAAGTGCCACACTTTCTTTAGGAAAAAAACTAATACATAAAGGATGAGACTCCAGTTCGATGGGACCACTCCCTCACTCTTCCCGAGTATTAGAGAGCACTCTTTTGGACTTCAACCCTATGGATAAGATAATAGGTAAACGACTCATTTCAAGTGCACTTTTGATAAGGACCGGTGTATGCCCTACATCACGCACATCCTGCTCACATCCTAGGCAATTTATGGCATGTGATCGTCCACCCTGGGCTCCTACACCCTTGCGCCTAGGAAAGGATGTCCATACCCTAGTTCAGGACCATTTCCTTGGACCACAGCAGGCCGAAATCTGAAAGCACCTTAGGAGTACTTCCACACTACACCGGTCCTTATCAGAAGTAATTTAAATGAATCGATTACGTGTCATGAAAACTCTTATCCTTATCCTTAGTATTGGAGAGCACAATGGAGTGCCCCCCCCCCCCTTCCCGAGTGAAGTTTCACCTACATAAAGACCTTCACAATTTGTATGCAAGAAGCTTACATTTTGTGGGGAGCCTTTGAGATTTCATTAGGTTACCATTGACTTCTAATGGAAATTAGTGAACTCTGATTTACTTGAAGGAATGGTCCTTGGAAAATTCTTGCACCCTTTTCCAACATGAATATGTCTGCTGTGCACTAGAGGCAACGTACCAAGTTCACGCATTAATATGCACTTCCCGGAGAAAACCAAACCCACAAAAACACACCCCATGGACAGTCGAGGGTAGGTTGGGCGGAGGCAAGATAGCGCATGAAATAAAGTGCGCCTTGGGGTGGTCATGTGTCAAGTGACGCATTCGAAGGAAAGGATAAAGCGTATAAATTCAAAGATTAGAGGCAAAACGATAGAAAGAATAGGATACGGAAACGAGCTCCCTGATTGGTGTTTTTCCTATACTATCGATGGATGCACAAAACATTTTCAGGCGCTATCGCAAGATACGGGGGCGTTGTTGTGGCAGTGGGTATACCGCCTTTGTGTAAATCCTGTATTTATAACTGGAAACGGGGCTAAGTTTCAAGCGGGGGTAGAGAGACCTCAGGATGCGTGGTCATCTTCGTTTTCTCAAGAATTCCTGTCCCCGTCTGAGTTCGGTCCTAGGTCCCCGTTTATTACGGTTGCGTCAATTTCCATAGGATCATCCACCAAACGGGTGAGTCCCTTTGCCATCGTTTGAGTCTGCAAACATTTGAGTGCGCTTATTAGATCATGGAATGCCTCGATGATCCTGAATAGCCGTGGTACGCGCGACATATTTAATCAATGCTGAACGACACTTCACTTTTCCTAATCTGAAGGCCTAAGATGTTGGGTAATTTTTCACATGACGTGCTTTTGAATAAGTTAACTGTAGGTCATTGTAGCCCAGTTTGAACAACTGAATAGGTTGAAGAGCTCGCAGAAACCATAACCAAACACGATGATCACACTGGAAAAGGGAAGTGTATACTTTATGACACACCCACGCCCACACCCAGGCCATGAAATTCGATCATAGCGAAGCTAGGGGGCACATTCTATGCAATAAGAAGAGGCAAAAGAATGTGTACGTCTTGCTATCTTCTTACTGAAAGTTATGTTTAGAAGTGTGGATTGGAAAACACTTCAGTTCAGGTTCAGTTTTTTATGAGGTCAAATCAAATCCTGGGTCGTGAGTCGCCCGGCCAACCAAGCCTTCGTTAATTGGTACCAGACTTGTCTGGGAGGATAAAAACACTGACTTGTACATCGGCTGGCCCCGCAAGTCATTGTATAGGCCACATCGCATTCAAACGCCACTACGAATGTACAAATGGAAGTAGAATGCGTGCCGCATCCCAAAAAGGGATTGATCAACGGCAAATGCTTTATCCTTTACCAGTTTAGCTCCGCACGCTACCGCGCGCATGGCATCGAAGGCTTCGGTGAAACTGGACAGTCGGTGGAGCGTCAGGTTCCACCGGTAGAAATAAGTTTCTTCGTGAAATGCGTTAGCTGACTGTCCGCTTGATACGCGCGGTGGAGTACGGAGCTAAAGTGATGTCTGTAAACAACCACCATGCATCGAATGTCAGAATAATTTGGCGGTCGAATAATCTTTGATGCTAATGATGTTGAAATGGAAATACCCAGTACTCATTATCATGTTTCTTCAAACATCCATCGGACATTTTTTGGAACTCGGGGGAGTGTAGCGGCCGAATGGTAATTTGGGCTGAAGACGACAACGCAAATGAATGATATTGAAGTGAATTGCGCTATCTCAAATCTGTTTTTGAGTGATCTCTACAGTCTTACGCATATCGTTGTTATCAGCCTTATCACTTCTGACCCCACCAAATATGTTCCCGTCCCACCCTGTACATCACTTCTTGGAACCAACGCCTCCACTGCTGCTGGGACGCGCGCTATGAATTTCGTGAAATTTGCGTTCTAGCGCCTCTTATCAGCTCTTATCAGTCGTTATCACTTTCTGTCCCCCACCAAATATGTTCCCGTCCCACCCCCTATATCATATCTTGAAATCAACTCCTGACGACTGCTGACGCGTGCTATGAATTTCGTGACACATACACAGACATAGCGCTTTATATATAGTAGGGATCCTTATTTATCAGTGGAATAATCATTCATTGAACAAGCCCTTACCGTATATTTTTTACAGATTCCGCAAATTTGATTCGTCCCTTTCGCGCGAACCCTTTCCGACTCACTATCCAGCAGACAGAAAAGACCACACCGAGAGCAGCCATCTTTACAGATCAGCATCAAAGGGTTCTTACTATCGACGCCGACAGCGTTTCGAATCTGAAAGGGTCAGGAAATGAAAGAGGAAGTCGAGCGAAGTCTGAGCTACGAGATCCCTAATTTCTGAATGGCACCTTTTCGTGAATGTTGAGGAATCCCTTTGGTGGTTCTGCATCGTTGCTCCATCCTGTGATACAGTACGCCTTCATTTTCGATTTGTTCACCGTGAAATTTCTGATGACGTACCCTTCTGCTGAAACGAAGATTTTGAGAAACACAAAAACGGGTCTTGGCTATTTGCGAAGCAGAGCAAGCTGCACCTTCGTCTCCATTTTCAATGGCTACCGATGCACCTCCATAGGTACCGTTCTCTGTGAAAAGGAACCTGCAACCATCAACTTCATGCCCAGAAAAGCAGCATTACATGGTATGATGGTTTAGCGCGCTGTGTGTTTTCTCAGATACAGCTAGCGTACAGGAAGGGGATAGGTGTGGGTAGGCCCCGATACGCTGGGACAATTCAATTTCACCACTTCGTTTGGTGTAACTAGTACAACCTCCCTGACTCGACACATTATTGGCTAACTCTTGAGTACTATACCTTATCCTCATCCGCACGGCTATTCTATAGTCTTTTACGAGAATGCTGGATTGTAAACAAAACTTCTCCTCAGACGGGACTCGAACCTGCACCCATTGCTTACCGGGCAAGTACGCCACAAATTACGCTACAGGCACCAGTTCTTTCCAACTAAGCTTATCAATAGAAACAAAAGGAAGTCAAAATCATTTCTATAGTATTTGATTCCTGAGACGTCGCATGATCTCACTCCCCTACCCATCTCCAAAATCGCCTTCAAGCGGGTGGTTGAGAGGGAAGGGGTAAGGTGAAGGGGAAATATGAATACGAAAGGCAAGTACTCTATTTTGCTCACTTCATGCTTCGGTCTTGAAAGAATTCGGCTTGTAAATTTTTCAGGAACGATTCCACTTTTTAATCCATTGCAACACAGTCTTCCGAGGTCGCCACCACAACCCCATCGAAAACCCGAAGTACGACCTTTCACCATAACCAGCTTATACCACAAACGGACCTACGGTCCAATTGCGCCGTCCCCGCACTATACAGGGGACGGTAGTAAAGTGCCCTAGACTACTACGGCTTGTTAAGGCGAATAATAAAGCATACAGTCAGGGGACCCTGCTCGATACGGCGAACTTCACACATTCTCTAAAACTCGCCGTTCGCAATGGACGTGAAACCATATAATGCGGCACCCATGCGACGTTCCACTGCACCACAGCCGTTTGGTACTTTGAAAGATTGGTAGATAGAGCCATGGTAGTAACCTGAGGGTTGCAGAACACCGAGCATCATGGAGAATTGATCATCATGGAGAATTGATCCCGCGGGCGATCCAACTATCAAACAAGGAACCAACCCACTGCGCCAATCGACGTGCTTGAATTGTGGGATCATGGCCTAGATGACAGGCTTTCTTGCTGCCCACACTCAACACCTTCCAACGGAACCTTTTCTTCCCTGCTCTGTCGCATGTAAACAGACGCAAGACGCTTGCGACCGGATGCATGCGTGTGAGAGAAAGAGGGAAGTGCATGGGGATTGCAAAGACGCAGATAGACGGCTACTAAAATGTACTCCGGGTTACATTTGAGTCGCTCTCTACGTGACCCTCTGCGTCTCCGCGATCTCCACGCACTTTCCCCTTTCTCTGTCGTCCGCCGTCTAGTTGCAAATAGACCTCGCCCATCTGCGGGAGGTCAGCGTGAATTTCCCGCCCTTTCCCCATGCTTTTTAGGTGCGGACGAAGGCGAGGTCAACGTGACCTATTGGCCAACTATAGACTGGCTATTTAGGAGACTTTACTACCGTCCCAGGGCGACCAAAAAGAAAGAGTCACTTCGCCCATGGCGCACATCATCAAATTTTTCGTCGCACAGGATGCCGTTGTTGATGAATGTTTTACGGCAGAATATTCCTTAGGTGTCCCCCAGAAGCAGGCCCTCCTTCACTGCCCCACCGTCTTCAGAATATGACGTCATCTGCCGTCACCGTCGAGCTCAACGAGGCTTACCGTAATCGCTCCGGCCTGAAGCTGCTACATGAATTTCTCAAAGCCTCTAAATATAAGCAGCGCTCGCTTGCATAAATGAATAACTGAATGAGTAGACTACATATGTACTTCCTAAAGAGCAGAACGCAGGCTTGGGCTCAGGTGAGACTTCCATAACAAACTCACTGCACATGGTCATTATTAGCTAGGTCATCTGTGCGATCCCGCAAAGAACTTCGGTGCATGGCATCTTGGACGATTTCATCAACGTCTAGAGCTTTTCCTTTATGTGGTCTATTTATATACGAAAATCGCACTTGAAATCAGAATTTTTTGGATCGCCCATCACCACCATCGCTTCCAGATCTAATTGACTGAGCATTCGGAAGAAATCCGCTTGAGTGGTGGTGTCGAAAGGAGCTTGAGCCATAATGTATTGATCTGAAATCTGTCTGCTGTTTATAATGATACTATTCAGTTTTGACATGCATTTGAAAGCTCAATATATACCAGACAAAATTACCATGTGGTATGAATGAAATGTGTTGGTGAAATTTGAATTTACAGTCACAGGGTAGCTATAAAAGGAGCCGTCGGCGGCATCATCCCACTCAGCGGCCCCTCATCAGCGGATAACGGTGAGCTGCTATCACATCTATCACCACGCTACAACAACCTTCATCACTAACGAAAGCAGAAATTTTTGTCACGCAATCATCTGATAGCCACCCCCCCCCCACCTATCAAAAGAGAGCAGTCCCACAACCAAGACTTTTTTCGACTCTAATTTGAACATCGATTGCAAACTTGCAACTTATTGTAGAGTGCAGATACACATTCAAAAGGCTTCACGCAAAAAGTCATAGCGCAGAAG